TGTAAGTCGGGTTTTCCTTCCTGACGAAATAACTCCAGAACGCACAAACCGATTTCGACAATTTTGCATTCGTTGGAAAGGTCTCGGGCTCCGCAAGGTTTATAGCTAAGAAAATTATTTGTGCATGGCATCGTGTCTTAATGCAAAACTGCTAGAACTTACGCCACCGTAATTAAAAATTTGAGTAATGACATTAGTGAGAATTATCAGAATTATGCTGGTTAAGTCAACGAGCAATTCTTGCCGCAAAGAATTCAATTTCACCATTCAATCAAAAATTTCTGGCAATTTGGTGACATACCAATGATTCTGACTGGTCTTCCGTTTGACTTCAAACGATTGCAATTTCCAGATCGCCTTGCGTTCGCAATAACAAGTCGCAAGGCCAATCGCTTAGTGTTTGCGGGATAAATTTCAAATAGATTATTTAGAAAATTTTACGTTGCCTTTTCACGAGTTGGAAAACCTTCCGCTTTGTTTGTGTTAACGTCAGACCAAAAAACAAAAAATGTGGTTCATCAAATAACACTTCAATGAAACGGATAATTTGCGGATTCACTTTCATTTACTTAGAGAAGTTCATCTTCATTTTTGTAATCGAAATAAATTCATTACTGTTGTATAATAAAATCAAATTTTTCCTTTTCAAATATAAAACAAACAAAAAATTTCTTCATCTTTCTCACGAAACCATCTGGTGGCGAAACGGAGTTCGTCGGGTTTGCTAGTTTATTTATAAGAATTATACAAACCGAATAACAAATAACTTAATATTATTTATTTAAAGTATGTAAGTGAGCTTTAGAACTTCAGCCAGAATTAAAATTAAAATTTGAATAATTTTCGATATACCAATGTACAACCAAAAAAAAAAATGAAATTGTTTGATTGTTTTATAATTATTCAGTAAATTTAAGATATATAAATAAAACAATTTTGTCACTTATTAGCTAGATGCATTTTTACCATTATGTACTGGTTTTGGATGCAACTTTATGATGACTCCTTGAATTTCCCCTTTGCCTGCAAATAAATACAAACAGATCAGAATTTAGATGTCCCAAATAAATAATATCTTCTCAAATATATTCACCATAAGGATCAGGAGATCCGTTGGCATATATCACAAGTTGCAGACACACAACCAGGAAAATAATTTTGAACATTTTTGGTTCAAAAAATTTAGCAACCACCTGCAAAATAAACTAATGTTACTGGTTTTGGATGTGGACTTTATATACTTGATAATTTTTATTACGTGACGCAAATTTTATGACACGTATATAAATTATACTAATGAATCTAATTTTATTTTATTTTAAATAGTCATTAGTACAATATATTTATATTTATCAATAATTGGTATGATAAATTTTATGATTGCGAGAGTAATTTAAAATTTTTAATCGAATCAATGAGTGACATACTAGTGTATTAGAATTAATACTAAGCTAATAGTAATAATAAAAGTTTAGGGCTTTATGGAGGAAGAGTTTATGTTTTTTCAGAAAATCTTATTTGCTAATTTTATGTTTACTCGACTATCTGAATTGTTTGACTCCAAAATTGAAAAAATGACATTAGTCAACATTAACGAGCGTTAATTAGAATTGTTTTATTTATTTAAATTTATATTATTATTTATCAATATTACTTGATGTTAATAAATTAGCAGTTGTAATAATATTGAAATTAAAAAAAAAAAAAAAAAAAAATTAGAATTCTGCAACAATTGGCAAAGCCGTTTCTTTATGATTCTAACTTCACTCGTATTGATAATGAATCAGTTACTTTCGACTATCTATATAAATGCATATCACAAACTTTCAAGAAATTTTAAAATTTTCAAAAAAAAATATGAGTTTTCAAAAAAAACTAAGTTTTCATAAAATTGCTGTTTTAAAAAATATCAGTAATATCAAATATTTTCAAAATTGTCAAAAATTCAAAATTCTCACAAAGAATCTAATTTTTTATCTCTGAGCTTTAGAAATGTTTAAATTAAGGTACTGGAAGTTCCAACAATATGTCTTAAGGCACGATACCATGCACCAATAGTATCAAAGTTAATTCTGGACCATAGATTAATTGTGGTTCAAATGACTCTTATGAAACCCATTTGATTGATTTAAAAGAGAAAACCATCATATAGCATTCATTTTCATTGACTTGGATATGGATGACAAAAAATATGGTTATTAGTAAGTTCTGTAAAAAAGTAGGAAAAATAAGTTTTAAAATAAATCACCACTACCATTGCCAATATTATTTATTGCATGCATAATAATGTAACAAGGTACATTCATTTATTATCTAATCTAATCTAATTCATTGTTACTATTTTATCCTGGATAATAGTGGTCACACAAATGATTAATCAATGGAAGACTCGATTTAAAATTGCCTGGATGGCCACCTGGATGACTTTGGCCTGCAATGTGATTTGAAGTAATTAATACATTTTTACAATATGAACTACGTTAATGTTCAAAATAATTGATAAGGTTTTGACCAGAAACAACCTATTATTAAAACAAGAAGCAATTTTTTTTTATTAAATCTGTCACACTTAGAACATTCAGTAATTGTTTTTGACTTTTATTATTAAATTCCCGAAGGAGGGTTTATTTTTTCATCAAAAAATTCGACTCGCTTATTTTATGTTTTCTCGACGTTTCAAGCCATTCTGAATCGAATGAGACAAAATCGGAAAAAGTATGTGTGTGTGTGTGTGAACAGATTTTTTCGCCGTAAATCGATATTTTCTCCAAAACGGCTGGACCGATTTCAAAAAATTCGATGTATCTCGATGAGGACTAGCGTTTTCTGAGTTTTGTATGACGATCGGCCTGGCCGTTTCTTTGTAAATCGCAGAAAAGTGAAAAATTTTTCGTCCACGTTTTAGTCCGAAAACTGTTCGATAGATATTAATTGGGAATCGTGCTGATTAGTTTTTGCTAAAGATCGCCAAGCCGTTTTCTTGTAATACAGTTTTAAAAAATAAAACGATTTTATGATTTTTTTGACGGTAGATACCATAGTCTTGTATAGATCATACTAAAATATACGGTCCTACGACAAATCGTTTATTTTTAAAAATTCTTCAAAGTTTGCAAAAATAAGTATCGTTTTCTTGGCATTTGTCAAAATTAGATCTTTCATCGACGTTTGCTCAAAAAATGCCTCAACCGATTTCAGAAATTTGAAAAAAATTTGATGTATCTCGATGAGGATTATCGTTTATCAGTTTTGTGAGACCATCTGCCGAGCCGTTTCTTTGTAATTTGAAAAAAAGTGTTAATCTTTTCGTCTTCATTTAAGCTCATACTACCGAATTAGTTAGCTATATTAGTTGGGAATGATACTGATTAGTTTTAGATGAAAATCTACCGACCCGTTTTCTTGTAATTAAATGTTAAAAAAATTTAATTCTTATATGGAATATGGAACTTTTTTTGGCAATATATTATATATCATGGTCTTATAATACTTACTGAAATATTAAGGCGTTACGACAAGTCGCTTATTTTCAAAAATTCATCAAAGTTAAGAAAATGAGTAGTTTTTTTAACGTTTGTTAAAATATAAATTAGACGATTTACTTGGTATAACGATAGAGTACTTGGTATTAATGAACATACTGAACTATTAAAGTCCTGCGGAAACTGGTTCAATTATAAAAATTATTGATTTTTGAAAATTTGCTTTTAGGAAATACTCCGAGTTAACGTGTTCGTTGGTTTTCAATTATGTGTAACGAATTCACTCGGAATACTTTTAATC